TATAAAATGTTATAGTAGAAGACGTCCTCTCCGCGCTAATAGAAATAGCCCCGGATAAGGCCCCGGGTATTATAAAGATAACTAACAGGATTTTTAAAAAATACGAAACGTAGCTAGTACTAACGCTGGCTAGGTTCTTTACTAGGTGCGTATATATAGGGCACTACCCACGGCCGTATAAAGAATTAATTACCGTAGTGCTATATAAGCCTTAGAAAGCGTCCTATAATATAGTAAAGTTGTATAGGCTAATTACGCTGCTAGAAATAGTAGGTAAGCTACTTAAATATATTATAGCACGAAAACTATCTAAAATAGCAGAGGAAAAAGGCATGCTCCTACTAAGCTAAATAGGTATAAGGCCTAAACAATCTATATAAACAGTACTAGAACTTCTTATAGAATAAATATAAACTATATAAAAGGGCAACTCTTACCTTATTACTTTTCTTTTTAGCCTAGATATTTTAGAGGCCTTTAATAAAGTATTTTATAAAAGAATAATATACAACCTATAGGTCTAATATATACTAGAATAGATAGTCTAATTTATAGAATTATTTCTATAGAACCGAACTATAAAACTTTCTATTAGAAGATATATTACTAAAACTATCCTAGTTAATATAGGCATACTATAAGGATTTTTACTTTTACTAATCCTTTTTTTATTCTTTATAAGCACGCTCCTGCCGGCACTATAAAAAGGTAATATAACAGCCTATAGGTTTATAAACAACACTAATATCCTTATATTTAGTAGAAGTATAGAAGAGAACTACAGGGTAATTAAAAGTGCGCACGTATAGTATATAAAGTGGGCGAAGAAGTATAGTATAGTATTTGCCCCGGATAAGTATTACCTTATATACTTTACGAGGCGCCGTTTAAATACAGTAAATATAAAGGCTATAGTAAATATCTAGGGCTTTATAAAGGGCCTAATTATAGAGCTTTATATGCTTAAAGTCTAGGTAGACTCTAAATTTAAATAGGGCCCGTATATACGTATTATAAAGGAAAAGGCTATAGTATAGATAGAAGCCCTTACACGGCTAATAGTATTAATATAGGGCGTAAGCTTCTAAAAAGCATAGTATATATACTTAGTAGTTATTAGGCCGGTTCTTATATATAGGTACACTACTTAGTTTCTAATACTAGGTATAAAGAAATAAATTAGCAAAGTAAAAATTAAATAACTTAAAATAGCCTAGAACTACTGCCTTTATACTATTACAGGGGCGTATAAAATAACAGATATTAAGACGCTTAAACATAAGACCTTTTGCCCCCCTCTAAGGCTTAAGCTAGAGGAACTCGCGGTAGCGTACGCGGACTATATGCGCGCAGGCTAGGCTAGAGAGTATATTAAAACTATATACTATACTATTAGAAATACTATTAAGAAATACTATAAGCCTAGGAAAACGCCTAAATATAAGCCGAGCCGGCGTAATATACTAAAGAGGCTTGCGGTTAAGGCTATAGCACTAGCCCTAAGGTATAAAAAGTAGTTAAATAACTTATATAAGCTTTTAAAATAAGGAGTAATATAGGAAGTATATAAGGAAAAGTAGAGGAATAAATAGAAGGCCTATAGAAAGAAATAAAGGAGCTTTTCTATACCGGCCCTTAATATAAAATAGAATAAAAATTAGGCAACTAAATACTATAAGCTTATAAAAGTAGAAAGCTTAATTATTACGCTTCTATAAACGGAATATATAGGGCTTAATATATACCTGCACTATATAAGGGTGCCTAATTACCCTTTACCTATATACCTCTATAGGTATATACTATAGTCTCTAAAGCACGTAGTAATATACTGTAAATAATACTATAATAGCAAAAGTAATATATTTTTTAAGGCTAAAATAAGAATATATATACAGCTATATAAAGACTATAAGGGAAATAAGGCCGTTTTATAATAGTTCCTATACTAGATAGACCTTCTACCCTACCTTTTTATAGCTAGAGAAATAGCAACGGAAAAGCTAGCTATACAGCTAGCCGACTTATATAGCCACGCCCTAAGAATAGAACTATACGTATATACGTATATTGCATAGCTACAGGCACGCCCGTAATAGGGCAACCCCCCTAATTTCCTATTATCCTTTAATTTAATACCTCGGCTTTTAAGAAAAAGGGCACGCGTGTACAGTAAGGGCACGCGCGCCCTAACGCGGACCCCGGACCTTACTAACCTTCTAAACACCGTATAACCCTGGAACCTAGAGCCTACGGACACCGGATTAATTCTAAAGAATATATTAAAATAGCTTACTCCGTAGTAATACTTATAGAGCTGCCACGCGTCCCCTACAGCTGCGCAGATATAAAAGGAACGTAAGGCGTTATATACTATAGAAAACAAGGTTTTTACCTAACCGTTATAAAGCGAACAGTTTCCCCTTATAAATAAAACCTAGATAGTACTGCCGTATAAACCCTAATAGGAGCTAAATCGGCCTAATAAAACCTAATAATAATAATAATAATAATAGGTAATCCTGCTATTTATTATCTTTATAGCTAAGTACTACCTTTCTACCTAGTATTAGGATAATAATATACCTAGTAATTAGGCTATTTTAGTAAGTAATAATAGCTAAATAATAAATAAGCTTAGTATTATATAGCTACGGCACTTTAATAAGTATATAAAAGGGAGGATAGTAGGCGTACGCCGGCTATTAATTCTAGATAGCTATAAAAGCTATAAATTGCTTAAGTTCTAAGCTATTTATAGAAAGAATAATATCTATAATTTTTATATACTAGTATATTTATTGCACTTTCTATAGCTACTTAATATAGGTTGCTTTTTACTATTAAAGCGCGCGTATAGGTATTAGGTTAATAGCCTAGTATATAACTATATTAACTATATTACTAAGCTTAAGTTTTTACTAGCCTTTAAAGCCGCCTTTAACGCGTTATTTATAAAAAATAATATCTATATAAGCTTTTAAGGCGCTAGCCTAATCCTATATAATTTAGATAAGGTACTATTATAGTTTAATATTAGGCTTTAGACGCCTACCCCTATTACTATAGATATTACCCTATAGGAATTAAAAATACTAAGTAATATATATAAGCTAGGGTCTTAATTAATCTTAATTTATAATTAGATATAGAAGTATTAGGATTTTTCTTCTATATTAATTATCTAGTTACTTAATTAGCTTTAAAGGGGCGGTAAGGTAATAGGCTATAAGCTAGTATTAATGCGCAATCGCGTTTCTAGACTTAAGAAGGTAAATAAGACCGCTATAAGGCGTAAATAATACAAAAGGAAATAGATCTAGAAGTAAAGCACCTTAATAAAGGTAGAAGAAGAGGATATTATTGCTTAAAGGGACGTTAAGCAGTAGCTAGAGAGTGAAACGCGTTAAGGCAACGCGTAATTAGGTGTTAGCCGGCAGGCCTTAGCGCGCTGTAAGCTTTGTAGACAGCCTGGGCATAACTTACGAACGTGTGAGAAACGTACTCTAGATACTATCTAATCCTGCAGAGCTACTATACTACTAGTATTTCTATGCGTTGTTAAGTTATAAGGTGTCGCGTTGCAAAAAAGTTAAAGAGTGCGCGACTCGCTTGCCTGCGCGACTCGCTTGCCACCTACGTTAGTTAAGTTAACTAGTTATATCTTTCCGTTTTACGGACCTAGCTAGCTTCCTCACACGAACACCAATACAATACATTCTCTCTTCCTGCACACCGAGCTTTGTAAGGAGCAGCCTAGCGGTTACGCAGCTAGTAAGCTATGAGGCAGTCTAATTTGCACTACTTGCACCCTGGCATCGAGCGTAGGTTTTTGGAAAACCGTGGGGGCACCCCAAGCAATGGCAGCGCATAGACTTCTGACCTATCACTGCAGAGATAAATTCTTTGCGGGCTGGGAATTCCAGCCTTGGACATTGAGAGATCTTGATACCATCACATTGAATTCTCGCTCACAGCCCTCAATACTTGGGAACGCCGCGTGCCTCCACAGGTGAGCACCCTTAGGTGTGTTTTTCCATGCTACAAAGCCGCCGCCCATGAGGTTTCTGCGAGTCGTCGTTGGGAATGGCTCTTCGGTCATACCACGTGACGTCCGAACACACTAAGAAAATTTCAATGCTCACAGTCACAACATTAGACCAAAGCGCTGTGACGAGGTGTGTATCTGTGCAAACCTCTTAAGAGAAAAGAACAAAATTCTAAGATCCACCGTCTTTTTCCAAAACCGAAACTGCCTTTTCAGTTTAAAAGAAGGCAGGACGAACTTTAACGGACGCATCTATCAATACGAAGTACAATCGCGAAAATGGGTAAAAAAGTGATTAATAGCGCGCATCGAGACCTCCGCCGACCTCTTTCGCCCTTGGTACTCCATACAACGACGTCGACGATACACGGGTCGGCCCCTCACCTAGCGCCGCCCTAGGAATAATCCTCGTACTATTAGAAATATTTCCCCGCATCCTCTATAGTTGTCGATATCTGGGCAGAGCTTGAATGCTCGAAATGGGAAGAAAGTTAGAAATTACTATGCAACATCCGGGATAGTCTAGGAAGACGCTGTAAGTACTCCTCCAAAATTGGGTACTAAAAGTCAAAAACTTTCAGCATCATCTTATCTTCGGCTCCCCAACACTTTCCAGTCGCTATTCATAAATTTAATTGTAAGTTTACGCATGATTCATTATGCATCCTAATCAGCGTATAGAGAGCATGGTACTTGCCCGGAAGTTCTCCTTGGTGTGCTATTGGAAGTTCAGAGGGCAAAGAGTCCTACCAGCACCCTGATCAGTGTAATCTTTCTCTATTCCTGAGGAACAGGCACAATCACTGGGAACGCTCTCTCAGTAGCCCATTTCTACCACCAACGAGAAGGAGTTCGTTGACATCCCTGGCAAACGGTGGACCCACTGACATCCAGGTCCCCGTAGGCATCTCTATGTTTAGTTGGACCACTTTAATTGATCCGCACGTAAACAATGGGGTTCCTCGAAAGATGCATCATTAGATACCCCCTCTTCCTATCCTCCTATATTGTCAACTTCACCCGTTGCAAAAAAGGGCTTCGTTGCGGCGAAAGAGCGACCAACTCGCCATGCCAGAACTACTTCCTTCCAAATTTTTCCCCGTGATAGCGTTTATACCCTTCCTTGTTATCTCCTACTTCTTCGTTCAGGATAATTCTTCCACACCCAATTGAAATCAACATCCTAACCCTGCGACAGAGTATCTTCGTGGCCTCCACCTCCTCGCTCCACCACCTGCCCGGGCCCTGGTACACGCACTTTACGCACCTCCGCCTCAAACGTGCCGTCGTCACCGGCCAGCGCATCTTTTACATCGATGCCCTCCACAAAGCCCATGGCCCCGTTGTGCGCATCTCACCCACCGAGGTCGCCATCGCGGACCTCGAGGCCTTCAAAGAAATCCATCGCGTGGGCTCGCACTACCTGAAGAGCGCGTGGTATGGCAAGCTGGCGAATTTCCTGGTGCTGGGGGTGTTCACGATGATTGATCCCAAGGATCATTCGCAAAGGAGAAAGTTGCTCATGCGGCCGTTTAGCCGGACGCAGCTGCTCGAGCATTGGGATCAAACGGTCAAGGAGACGGCGGCACTGTGCGTGAAGAAGATTAAAGAAAAGGCGTTGAGGGGGCAGGCCGACGTGTTCAATTGGTGGATGCTTCTCGCTTCAGATGTCAGCGCCCATTTGGCTTTTGGAGAATCGTTCAAAATGGTTGAAGGCGGAAAGGTTAGTCATTCTACCTAATGTAACCAGCATGTAAAGAAATATACTAACTTCTACATTCTTATAGGAAACCGAATTCATCCGCGTCCTCAAAAAGCTCACCAAGGGCGCCGGCATCATGGTCGAAATGCCCCTCCTCCGCATCCTGCGCTACCTCCCCATAAAGCCCGTACAGGAAACGTTCAACGCGAACGACTACATCTGGCGCGAAGCCGCGCGCGCCGTCGAATTCGCGACAAGCCGTACCGGCGAAGCCAACATCTTCCGCAACGTCATCGAGGATTCCGAGAAAGAGAATACTACCCTCAATGACCTCGACGTGCGCATGGAGGCCATCAACATCATCATCGCCGGCACAGACACGACGGGTACAACGTTAACGTACCTCACATGGGCGGTCTTACAGCGCCCAGCCGTTCAGCGCAAACTTGAGGAAGAAGTCGCAACGCTGTCTCCGGAATTCACCGACGCGGATCTCATTGAACTACCGCTGCTCAACGCAGTAATCTAAGAGACACTGAGGCTATACGGCGCCGCACCGTCCAGCCTCCCCCGCGTCGTGCCGAAAGGCGGTGCGAAGTTCGGACCGCAGGACTCGTATGTGCCGGGGGGTACTACGGTTTGTACGAAAGCGTATACGTTCCATCGCGATCCTGCGATCTGGGAAAACCCTTTGAAGTATGTTCCCATCTTCCTATTCCCTACCTAATGCTAATGACGACCCACAGATTCGACCCCACGCGCTTCCTCTACCCGCAAACGGCAGAAGCAAAACTCGCCTTCCACCCCTTTGGCGCGGGCGCGCGGAGCTGCGTCGGTCTGCATCTTGCGAGGATGGAGCTGCGGTATGCGGCGGCCATGCTATTCAGGGAATGCCCTGGGCTGCGGCTCAGCGAGAGCACTACGGAGGAGAGTATGGAGTTTATAAACTTCTTTTTGATTGCGCCGAAGGAGCATCGGTGTGGGGTTACATTACAGGGAAAGGGAGAGGCGAGGGAGGGCTTGAGAAGGCGAGTCTGATCTGATTGGGTGCTACTCTTGTAATGCTGCCAATGTTTTATGGGGAGCGGGTAATGTGTTCGATTTGAGAATGATGTGTGAGGAGTTTGGTAAGATGTAATTAGTCGAAGATCGGGGCAATTGGTTTGGAGTACTTTTTGCGTATGCGAAATTCGAGATCGCCATATAAGGGCTTGGATACTATAAATTAGACCTTATGAATTAGACCAGTGTCTTTAAATGGCTGGATGTATGTCCTGTATCTAGCACGTTGCATATTGCATCGGTGAGGGTAGAGCGCTTGCCGGTTGGATTGAGCTTTGAAGGACTTCCTGTGGTTGCGAAATTCTAGGGGCGTAATGTAAAGGTTTACATGTCGTAAATTTAGCCCTGTGTAAGTATTTGCGCTGGCGGGTTGGCTAGGGCTTTAAAGAACTTCATAGTATTACAAAAAATTTAACTTCGAATGTAAAGATCCGGACACTGTAAATTAGACCTACGTTTATTCATCGTACATTTCTCAAATCGCACCATGTAGACTATTGCACTAGGCGCAAAGACAGCACCTTGGGGGCTCCAGCACGAGTGAGGATTTTAACACCGTGATGTCAAGTTTGGGACGTCGTGAATCAGACCTACGTTTATGCAGTAGGTACGTCTTAGATCGCATTGTGTAAGCTATTACTTTGGAGATGTATGCAGCACATTAAAGGGCTTCAGGATCTTAAGATCTCATGGGCGAATGCCAAGTTCTAGATGTCGTGAATCGACGGCACGGGCGGCTATGATATGTTCGTGTGCTTAGCATGGACAAGGAAAATAAGTAGCGCGAAGGAGCTGTGGCGCTATCTGTATGCTCAAGAACGCGGGTGTCTCTAAATTCCTCATCCGAGGTGGAACGGGAATATCGTATATTCGTAATTAATAGTCACTGCGCAGTGTGAACAACAGACCTTAGGATTCATACGTCTCAATTTCGTTCCATAATGCTTCGCTATCAAAATTCCAATATTATTCTGAAGACACGAAGAGAGGAGTAATTCGAATAAGGTAAATGAATGTCGCATTCATCATCCGGAACCACCAGCATGCCCCCAAACCACCACCAGTAAACGTCGTTAGCAGGGCTTTCGCTCCTGCTCGCCCCTGTGTTCTGCCTCAGCCTCGGAACATTCCGAGGCTCTCCTTGATGAAAGTTGATACTCTGTCTCGGCCTGCGCTGCCTGGACACTGATATTGAAGGTTGCGGCTAGGTAGCTTGCATAGCGAGTTCGGTATGCCAGGGCAATGTCTGAGGAGGAAGAAGTGGGGGAGGGAAGGCCTGGAGCTTCGTTAGTGTCGAGCGCTTGGGAAAGAGGTCTATGTGGGCTTTGGATGGTCACTGCCATAACGCGAACTCGGGTCGTAGCTGCGCACAAACATAGCCTTTAAAGGAAGGTTTGGGGTGGTTTCGGGGTGGTTTCGGTGTAAGGCAGGTGCCGTGCTTTCATAAGACCAACAAAAGGGGCATTCGTGCTGAACGGATACAGATACAAACACCGCTTCCATGATACTCCATATCTGTTCAGACGGGTACATGAGGATCGAAGCAATGCTCGCCTTGACGAACGTGAAAAGGGGCGAGAAAGAACAGCCAGCATACCTTGCACGTTCTGTATCAGTGTCGACGGAGGAGCCTTCAGCTGCGTAGAAGAGGGTCTCGTTCGGTAGACTGTAGGGCGGGTTCCCTCCTGGAGGATAGGAGGTGGGCGGGGTCGAGGTTCCGAGATTGAGAGGAGGCGAGCGCGGTTCGTGGGCGCTGGGATGGAGACGGGTTCGGCAAAGGAGACGTGACGGTTTGAGGGATGGGTTTGGGTGGGCATGGTGAAGTTTTCGCTTTGCCTCTGGCGTTTTTGGCCGCGGCGAGGGGAAGTATGGGAAAGAGAGGCGTGGTGGAGGATGTGAGAGCACTTGGAAGGCGGAGCAAGAGATGAAAACGATGACAATGGTGGGAAATTGGGTGTTCTGTGAAGTCAAGAGGAAGCTTAGGGGCGTTTTATGGTATTTGGAGGCTGGAAGTCGGAGAGGAGATAGGGGCGCTCTCCAGATAGGCTGAAAGCGAGATGTTGGCACGCAGAGGTGTGAGTGGAGATAGACTGATGATGGATTGGAAGAATGAAGCCTGTTGAAACTATCTACCTCAATTTTACCCATTTTCGTCATGGATGATGCGGTGAGAAAAGCCGCCAGCCGAGTACGATCTGTCGTGTACGCACCTGTCTGCTCAGCGGCTGCGCAGAGCCGTGAAACAGATGATCTATCGCGGATTACCGAATTGCGTCAAAGGAACCATCACTCTCCTTTCTGGGACGGGAGTAGTTTTCGGTGCCCTGGCTCGGTTCCCGATGCCCTCTCCGCACTACCCCTGCGAGGGCGGCGGGGGATCCAGTCTGCCGGATCACGCTAAGAGAGCTGATTCCGCCATGATTGCATTTGGAGCCGTCACAAATGCAAAGCTGGGCGCGAGCATTCACACGACCCAGGGACAGAAGAAGCTCATCATCGGAAATTGATATCGAAATCTCATCACCGTTGAGCAACGACAGCAGGTCTCGCGAGCAATGTCTTCTCCCAGGGCGGGGGCCGCGATGGTGGTCCCTGCTGCGTCGGCCGCTCGCACGGATGGGGAGCCACGAGCTGGGGGCCAGCACAGCGAATAGGGGCGCGGGCATGCAGAACGTGGTGAGGGATGACAGGTCTGTGCGTTATCAGTGACGTCTTGGAATGCTTCATCCACGAGGGAGCATGGCGAAATCGTGCAGAGTGAGGGATTTGGGGGAAAACCACGCAGTCGTTCATTGCCAGATGGGAGAGGGGGAAAACCACGCACCGCGGCCATGGGCGAGCAGCTGTTTTGGCTGATATCCGTGCCCCACGTGCCGTGCAAGCGATTGCATAAAAATGCACAGCCCCGACGCTAGCCATGCGCGGAGCGGGACGCACAGGCCAGATGACGGCATGCTCGCACTCTTGTCCGCGAGCCTATTTACACCTCTGCCAAAACCACCACCGCTGTGGCCTTTCATTCGTTGGACCCTGCGCGAGTGAGGAGGACATTGGTCTTCGCGTGCTTTCTACCACGCGCAGTGCGGGTCCCTGGCTTGGTCGGCGGGTACATGGGCGCTCGGGCCATGTTCACGAGATTGCCGAGTCGTCTTCTTGAGCCTAATCAAACCTCAGCGTGGCATCCCTTTCTTCCTTTCTGCACAGGAAGCGACTTTTCGTGCCGTCGCCTTCTTGCGCGATGAGCAACGACAGCAGCTACTGGTGGAGGGCACGCAGAGGCCGCCATGCTGGTGGAGCTGGCCCCAGGCTCGATTCCACCCAAAGCCCTGGAAACCGGAATTCTGCCCAGAGACCGTGTTCACACCTCACCAACACAGCACACGCCTGCAACGCTCCCGTCGGCTGCATGCCTGATTGGTGCCCGGCCTGTGCTCTCGCCACGAAGCAGCTCGCTGCATTCGGTATGCCGTGTAGGTCGAGATGCATGCCGATGCGTGAATGCCGACGTTTCTACGCATGTGGCGAGCATATCGGACTCGGTTTGCCAATCTACTCCCCGTCTTCAGCTGCTCATGGGTTCTGCTATGCCTTCCTGTTTCGGCTCGCATAGCGAGTGATTTCAGCGAGTATATTGATGCTACGCTTCGGCATCTCCTTCATTTCCGCATCTTGACATCACCCAAAGCTGGCTGGACTTGGCCGTGGAGAAGACTCATCGCTAGCTTACGTCCAGCGGGAGAACGTCCAGCGGGAGACGTCTAGTCGCTGACGGTGAATTAGTGTGTTGCAGCACTGCCTCGCGGCATTCCTTTCAAGGCTGGTGCACCATAATTCGCGCATCACGTGACCCGCCATCCAGTCGATTTGCGGCGCGTGTCGTGGTCCACGCAATTGGATGCGTCGCCTCAAAACAGCGCCCTCACCGTCACTCCTGTCAGATCATACCCTCTTCTTTCTGTCTTCTCTGCCTTTCATCTGCTTGTGAAACCTTGCCATCATCCCGATACCATGGCTGACCCCGACCCCGTCCACGACATCGAGTCTGCTGAGAAGGGTGCTCATCACATTCGCTATGCCGAAGACGTGGAGACCCGTCCAACACGTGCTCGTGCACGAAGAGACTCTAATGACGATGGCATGTCCATTCGCTCCATCTCTCGCCGCCGCATTGTTGAGCCCGGAGTCGTCCTCCCAACTGCTTATCGAACCCTGTATGCCACCCTTCTGTTGTGATATCGACGCACCGTCACTGACTCTATCACAGCTCCATCAACATCGAAGACAGCAAGTCCCTTGACGTCAAAGAACCAAAGAGCTCGAAAACAAAGGAAGCTAGTAAGCTCGCCTGATGCACCTCACAATAGCAATGCCAACACCCCTTCGCAGCCGCCGTTGAAGACCTTGACTGGCACCTAATCTCCACCGAGGAGGCCGCTCGTCGTCTGTCTACATCCACCAAGAATGGTTTGTCAAATGAACAAGTTGCGAGACGTCTCAAAGCACACGGTCGCAATGTCTTGTCCGCTCCACCATCGCGCTGGCTCATCAAAACTTTGGGATACCTCTTTGGTGGCTTCGGTTCCATCCTCCTCATCGCATCCATCCTTGTCTTCATCGCATGGAAGCCTCTTGGACAGCCCCCAGCTATTGCCAATCTTGCTCTGGGCATCGTTCTGGCTATCGTCTTCGTCATTCAGGCTGCCTTCTCTTTCTTCCAAGGTACTTACATTCCTTCTCTGACTTCGCATGCAAATGCTTACAAGCGATATCAGATTGGTCAACCTCTCGCGTCATGGACTCCATCAAGAACATGCTTCCTGATGAGTGTGTTGTCATCCGCGAGGGTGAGCGGGCTAAGGTCCTCGGCACAGAGATTACCCAGGGCGACATTCTCTGCATCAAGATGGGAGACAAATTGCCTGCTGATGTACGATTCATCGAGGTCTCGGGCGATGTCAAGTTTGATCGCTCCATCTTGACAGGTATGCGAAGAATACGATAAGGCGGAATGGCATCAGCTCACACATTGCAGGCGAAACCTTGCCGACCCGTGGCTCTGTTGACTCTACCGACAACAACTACTTGGAGACGGAATGTATTGGTATGGCCGGCACCCATTGCACTGCAGGTACTGCAGTAGCTATTGTTGTAGCAACTGGCGATCGTTCAGTTTTTGGACGCGTAAGTTGACTGTACTACCTTGCGAGTTGATTGATATTGACCTAGGATTCAAATTCAGATTGCGAAAATGACGAATACCCCCAAGACTGGATTAACCAACTTGGAGAAAGAGATCTACTACTTTGTCGCAGCCATTGTCACAATCATGCTTATTATGATTATTGTTGTCATCATCGTGTGGTAGGATATGTCTGAGGAATTTTTCACATGGCGACGGGGCTGACGACTGGCAGGGCTTCTTGGCTCCGGCATTCTCATTCAGACTGGATCTCCGTTCCTGTGCTTATTGTCGACTGCGTGAGTGTCGCGGTTGCCTTCATTCCGGAAGGACTTCCCATTGCCGTCACGGCAAGGTTCGTATCTATCCCTTACTATAAAGAGACCATCCTAACCATAACCTAGTCTTACCATCACGGCGTCGACCATGAAGAAGAACAAGATTCTCTGCAAATCGTTGAAGACGGTGGAGACATTGGGATCTGTTAGCACTATCTGCTCCGACAAGACAGGTACTTTGACCAAGGTAATGCCCTCTCAGATCATGACAATATCCGAAGAAATCCGTTAACATTTGCCCAGAACCAGATGACTGTCACCGACTGCATGGTACATCAAGCTCCTACTAGCGCCAGCGATGCAGCAGCCATCGCACAGTCGACAAGAATTTCCGCCACCAAGCCAGTCAACTCCGAAGGCATCGTTCAGCTCGGTCAAATCAGCGCAATATGCAACGCCGCGGACATGGATGCAGCCACCGCTCATCTTGCCCTTGAGGACCGCAAGTTCTTTGGTGACGCGACTGACCAAGCCGTCCTTCGCTTTGCAGAGTCCCTCAACGACGTTGCCCAGATCCGAACTCAATGGAAGGTCGTCAATACCGTCGCGTTCAATAGCAAGAACAAGTTCATGATCACGGTCGCTCGTCCAGCTACTGGTAATGTTCATTTCAAAGGAAAGGATTTCGAATCAAGCCCTCTTGTCTTGTTCATCAAGGGCGCTCCCGACATCCTTCTCCCAAGATGCTCTTCGATCATGACTAGCAACGGCACCACAGATAATCTTCCTACCGACACTCGCACTGCCATCGAAGTGGTGAAGGACAAGTGGTCGTCAGAAGCCAAGCGCGTCATTCTTATGGCTCGGAAGCATCTCAGCCCGGAGCTTAGCAAGTTGGACCCACAATCCCGCGAATTCGAGAACATGGTCATTAACCAAGCCGTCGGAGGCCTTGAGCTTGTCAGTCTCGTTGGCCTCGTCGATCCCCCGAGGGACGAGATTCCGAGCGTAATTCGAACCCTTCGTGGTGCCGGGATTAAGGTCCACATGGTGACTGGCGACTTTCGGCTTACGGCCCAAGCTATTGCAGTCTCTTGCGGAATCATCACCAACCGCAAAGACCGCATTGACAACGTAGACGCCTTGAGTGGACAAGAGCCTAACCCCTTCAAACTCTCTGCCGAAGAAAAGACGCGTTACCCCGCCCTTACCGAAAAGGCAATCCGATCCATCGTCCTCAGCGGCCCCGATATGATGGACCTGGATGAAGAGCAATGGGATCATCTATGCCAGTACGATGAGATTGTGTTTGCTCGTACTACCCCCGAGCAGAAGTTGCGCATCGTCAAGGAACTACAAGCCCGTAAAGAAATCGTCGGCATGACTGGCGATGGGGTTAACGACGCCCCCTCCCTGAAGCAAGCAAACATTGGTATTGCCATGGGGTCTGGATCGGACATCGCCATCGAGGCGGCTGACATGGTCCTCCTCGAGTCCTTCTCCGCCATCGTTGAAGCTGTCAAGTATGGTCGTGTCGTCTTCGACAACCTGAAGAAGACGATCTGCTATCTCCTCCCCGCCGGCTCCTTTTCCGAGTTTTGGCCCGTCATGACCAACGTCCTCTTTGGCTTGCCCCAAATTCTTTCATCCTTCCTGATGATTATCATCTGCTGCTTCACTGACTGCGCTGCTGCGACCGCTATTGCTTACGAGAAACCCGAGGCCGATGTCTTGCTCCAGCGGCCTCGCAACCAAGCTAAAGATCACCTCGTTGATTGGAAGCTGGTACTGCACTCGTACGGTTTCATAGGCGTACTGGAGTCGGTCAGCAGTTTCGCGATGGCGTATTGGTATGCACAGCGCAAAGGCCTCTCCTTCAGCGTGCTTTGGTTTGGGTTTGGCGCTTCGCCAAATGGCATGACCACGGATGAGATGACGGCCATCCTAAACACCGCTTCGTCCATCTACTTCGTCAACTTGGTCGTCATGTAAGCTTGCATTCGTTCCAAACTCGTCGCGTCTCTAGCTAACCTTTCATCATAGGCAATGGTTCAACCTTTTCGGCATCCGCACCCGGCGCCTCTCGTTCTTCCAACACCCGCCCATTTTCCGCAAGAGCACACGAAATCTCTACCTCTTCCCGGCGATTGTATTCGCCCTCCTCATTGCCATTTTCTTCCTTTATTTGCCAAAATTCCATAGTGTTCTTGCTACCGCGACGGTGCCTGTGGGCTACTGGTTCTTGCCCATGACGTTCGGAATGGCGATATTATTGCTGGATGAGGGGAGGAAGTATGCCGTGAGACGGAATCCGAACGGAGTATTGGCGAAGATTGCGTGGTAACAGAGGTTGAAAGATGGGGGTGTGACACATAGAGCGCTCATCTGGATAAAGCGACATGTGATTTGATGCTCGTTCGCGACTGTATGAGGGGCGTCAACATTCTCAAAATGATCTGAACAGGATGTAAAGTTCCATACCCTTCAAATTAGACGGATGCACATTTTAGTCGATGATAGTTATAAAACGCTCTTGCCTTCCATATTACAGCGTTTCTTTATGTAATTTGCTATTCTCTTACAACTGTAGAAGTTGCTTCAACGTACTTGAAATATTCTAGGCAGGATAGTTTCTCAGCTTCTTTGACTCAGCAGATACGATTTTCGTTACCTCATGCGCCGTTTGCCCGACGCGAAGAAGGCGATCGTGGTCTTGATTCCATTCCAATTGGCCACCTGCCCACATTCGCCGAGTGTACGAGGCAAGCGGATTGACGGTCTGATCTGAGCGGGCGTGAAATACACCAAATGATATCCAGAAGGGATTGGAGTTCCGGGATGCGGCGCTGTGTCTACTGCAGACACATTTTTATGTAGATTGGGGCGGCCGAGGGTGAGGCTGAGTAGTTGTACTTGGTTCGCATCAAGAAGCTGCTTCCGGACGGATATGGGCTTATTCCCGAAGCGTTGCAGGATTCTAGCGCAGGCTTCGGCGGCGGAGGCATTGGGAAATTTCGATTTGAGCCGCCGTAAGACATAAGCCATAGTAAAACTCAAGGACCATAGGACAAGAAGGCTGAATTGTTCGTTCCGAATGATGACGAAACACACCCCTGTTTCCGAACGGTATAGGCCGTTTCCGAACAACCAGTCTCTTTCGTGAATGAATTAATCTATAGAGGAGGCACTTGGCGTTTATCAACGGGCTAGCTCCATTGCCACAAGTTAGGTAGAGACTAGTTATAAGGAAACATCCCTCTATATAGGGGAATTTACGCTGTTCGCTGTCGTTCGGAACAGAAGCTATGATGCCGAAGTCGGACTTGCGCTAGGGACTGCGGGGAAGGTGCATATAGCCGAGATCTACGCCACGTGACACGCCCAATGAAGCAGCTCAGGTCCTCGATCCTAGCCCACTTCCCCACGATCGAGGGCCCGGACCGGGTGTCCGCGAGTCAAGCACTACGTCCGGTACAATGTGGGTTGTTAAGATCAACTTCATCAGTACCACGGTGCGCCATTTTTTCACTCGTCTTCGGTGGCAATTAGGTCGTTGCCCGCACCAGCTCCAATATCATGCAAAAAATTCCCAATCTTCTCCCTGAGCCGGTTCTTACGTCGAAGGCTGCTCAGGCTCTCCCACGTAAAGGTTCAGAACCAGAGGTCCAGCATGTCGAAAACATCGGCCTCGAGCCCAAAGGAACTGCAACAGAAAGAACAGATTCTTTCACAAGGCTGGATTCATTTACAGACATAGAGACGGTCGCACTAGTCGTCAGAGAAGTGAAAGCGGACTTCGAATTGACGCCGATTATACTCGATGAAGTCCGTCCAGACGAGGTCCTCGTGGAGATGAAGTACAGTGGCATATGTACGTCGAGGCTTGCTTCCTTTTACTACTCCAACGAGTTTCAAAGACCGACCATAAGTCTGCGCACACTCATTCGTCACTGCTTGGGGTACCCCTATGGAGTTTCAAAAGCTTAGGCGTGAGGTCAATCTTCAAGAAGTGCATTTCAGACCGCTCCTTGACTTCACTAGCTACTGACTAGCTAAGCAACGCTTCTCAGTGAGCAAGAAGACAGTCGAGTAGTGATGAATCCGTTTGCTAAGACTTGTGGCTTAGTACTGTACCGAGTTTCTGACTTTTGTTTATTCAGGCCACACGGATATCGTCCTCCAGCAAGGCTTGCTGCCAATGGTAGAATTCCCTGCCATCTTCGGGCACGAAGGGGCAGGCTTCGTCCGCTCGATTGGGAAAGGCGTTCGCACGGACCGATTCCAAATCGGAGATGCCGTGCTGCTGTCTTTTAACAAGTGTGGACACTGCAAACCGTGCAAGTCAGGGCATCCGGCCTCCTGTCTCACTTTCGCCGAAGTCAATCATAACGCGGTGCGTGTAAGCGACCGCACCACTCCGGCGAGGACGAAAAGCGGACAGTCAGTACGGAGCCAGTACTTTGGCCAGTCTTCCTTCTCAAAAATGTCCGTTGTAAATGAAAAGTGTGTCGTCAAATGCCCATTTCCGGATAAATTGCACCTCTACGCTCCAATCGGGTGTGGCTTCCAGACAGGAGCTGGGACTGTGCTAAACGTATTCAAACCCACGAAAGAGGATGCGCTGGTAATCTTTGGTCTTGGGAGCGTAGGCCTGGCCGCACTTATGGCTGCGAAGTATCTAGGTGCTGGGCGCATTATTGCGGTCGATATCGTCGATGAGAAACTGAACATGGCAAAAGAGTTAGGCGCTACTGATATCGTGAACTCCATCAAGCATTCCGACGTCGTACAAGTTATCAAAGACATAACGGAAGGTGGTGCCAACTACGCTATCGACTGCACGGGCGTTCTGAAGGTCATCGAGACAATGATCGAGTGTCTGGCTCCGCAAGGCACTGCGGCTTTAGTGGGAGTTCCGCCGGCAGGAAAGAAGATCCAGATCGACCCATTAGCCTTTTTAAGCGAAAGCAAAAAGCTCATCGGGGTTATCGAAGGCGATTCGAACCCGGTCGAGTTTATTCCGCAATTGGTGGAGATGCATCAAGCGGGGCATTTTCCAATCGAGCGGCTTTGCAGAACTTATCCCGTGGCTAAGTTGAATGAAGCTATGCATGACTTGCATACTGGCCAGGTGAGAATGAATATATGTTCTTCCACAAAGTTTCCTTGCGCTAACAATGAAATTGTCAGGTCATCAAACCAGTCATTGATTGGGGCGAAGTTTAACGGCATCTGGACGGCAAAGATATTTCCAAGGAATGTATGAAAGTTTTGGGAGGAGTTTATTGGAAAGGAGCTTTTATCATAAGCTACGGTGCTAACATGTTTATTAGTGGATCGTTTCCGAATCTATCGTATTATCTTAGGCTGTTTAAACCATACTCTGCATACTGCGTCTTTTCGGTTGGAAGTTATCTATCCAAAGCTCTTTGACACGTGACTTTCGGAGTTTATCCGGTCACGTGAATGACTACTCCTATAGCTCCTCAAGTCGAATGTAATTATGAATCCACTTCAATATTCCAATCCTTCTTATTTGTGAATAGCCCCCTGAAGTTGTCGTGCTAACTGGAATATGCTAAGTATATTAGTGTCTTTGATCGGAGGACAGTCATCATGCCAAGAGAGATCCTTGCCGGCCGCAAGCCATTTCATCTGTTCTCATCTCGTCTCTGCTTCAGATCTTCACTTCGTCAACAACGCCAACGACGTGATGATGATCCACCCTATCAAGCTACTTGACTACGAAATGACGACTCTTCCGTTGCTCGATTCTTGTTTCAAGCTTCCTCAGACCGTCATTGCAGGCTTCCGCATCTCGGTCACCACGCGCCCTACTTTGCCATCCTCCCAATGCCGACCCCTCATCCATCGATCCTCACCACTGAAAATGAGGAATCTGCTCCGCGTGTTAGTGCTCGCAGGCAGAATGCCTCGCTGTTGTATATCGCTTGGCTCGACAAGCTTTCATACAATCGGGAGGTTGAGCGAGCCGGATGGTGGGTTAATGGAACGTATCTCGCCGCTTTCGCTCGCTTGGTGCAGAGCCTCAGGAGTGTGCGCAGGTAGGTGGCCGTGATTTCTCTCCCCGTGTAGGATAGAACTTCTATCGTTTGGTCCTCCAATTCAATCTCACTCTCCCTGCGTCTTTGATCGTGTCGCCTGGACTGCGAAAACTTGCGATTTCACCAATTTGCTCTAAACTCTCCTGCACTTTCTCCACGGTCGTGAGGAACTGGGCTTGAATTACCAAATCTCGTCTTCCGATGAAGCTGCCGTAAGTGCTATCTAGAGAAGCTTCCGCAATCGTATATGAGCCATTCTCATTTCGACTCTGGGCCGACTTTCATGTTAAAATGACTGTAACTTGTGTCGGAAGCCACCTGGCTCCTGGAAGTCGCATTCGGATTCTAAGACTCGAATAGCCTTTTGGGAACTTATGGAGCCCCGGCTCTTCGGATAGTTATACAGGTGGCTGCCAGAAACTCAGAACTCTCCGACAAGCGTCTTGCAAAGCGTCACGCGATACGACCGTACCGCGAGTGGAGCTTCTAATTCATCATCCAATTTGGTCTTGGTGGCGGGTGTTTGACGGCAAGCATTACGTGGGCACGAAATTTATCACGGGAATCAATATGAGGTAATGAACGTTTTAGAAGCATAACTGTACAGAGTCCTGCCGACAACGCGTGCTAATCCTATCCATAAAAGAAAGGCGAGTCCTATCCATAAACGATAGGCCAATCCTATCCACAAAGACAGGCAAAGTTGACAACGATGGGCAGAAATCTCCACGGTCTCCCTTTCCACCATGCTCCCCTCCTCTCTTATCTACTCTTCTTCTTTTATCCACTTTCTCTCCTCTTTCTCCGGAATCGTTTCCTTCTTCTTTACTATCCTCTGCTCCTCCTCCCGCTCCTCCTCCGCCCTCTGCCTCTAGCGCATCGACGCCTGTGCATTCTCCCTCAACCTCTCCATCTCCGCCCTATCCACCGATAGCGCCCGGCGCTGCCGTTGCGAAGGTATCAGTGGCTAAGCCGGTTGCCCCGCCGACGGAAAGGTCCTTGACCTTGTTGCCCGAAGACAGGCCACACCTGCTGCGGCGCGAAGGCGAAGGAATTCGCCTGTCCAAACCCAGCTCCAAAAGGGCACATCCCTAGAGGCACCCTCTGGGCCTATCGGCGAGTTAGAGATCTACAGCCATCTATTGTGGGGATGGAGACTTACCGGCCAATACTCGTTCTTTGGCGCTGTCTTCAGTCTCCACCAGCTCTGAGACTTCGTCGGACTCTGGGCAAACCTTACCCACGTGCCCTGTGGTGCCGCACCAGCCGCACTCCTCCTTACAGTCCTCCCATAGACCGTGCTTCTTCTTCTTCTGCCAACATCGGTAGCAGATCGCCCCGAAGCTGGCCGGCACCCACTTCCCGTTCTCTATCACCCACTTGAGGTACTTCCATTTCTCCGGTACGTCGTCGGGCCCCTCGGTCGCGCGCAATGTCGCCATAGTTGCGATGCGAGAGTGTGTATGTGTTAGCCAGAATCGCCGTCGACGGGCAGCAAATGTTTCCTGCTCACGTCGGTTCGGCCAAACTACTTTTCCGGCTTGGCACACCTTCACTCGAACTATGGGACAACCTCTAATCGTTCACCGTAGGGTTACAGACCGAGGTATTGTAGTAATCAAAGAGAAGACTTGCTACAGCACGTCAGACTCTTGCGCATGTCACTGAATCGCGAATGAGGTCAATGACTTTGAGAGTTACATGCATTTGATCTATCTGCAATCCTACTAATGGCGGTAGACAACGACGTACGAACAACAGCTGGCTTATCTTATCCACAAAGATCGGCGATTCTTATCAATAACAACAGGCGTTTTCTCTAAACATCTTCAGAAGTGCAAGATGCGTAGATGCTGCATGGGGGCCTTTTCTGACTGGCACAAGAGCATCACATTATATGGGTCAGAGATCTCGAACACTTTGTTCATTCCGAAGCTACCTTCACCGAGTCCAAAGCGCAAGATTCGGCAGGTCCATAGCGCAAGCTACGGCAGATCCATAGAGCAAGCTACGGCAGATCCAATGCGCAAGCTTCGGCAAAAGACCTTACTGGTTGAGGTTCACTCCCCCAGAGTAGTCTCGATCGTCGTCGTGGTAGATCTCCTCTACCCTCCCATTTCCACTGGCTCTCTGCGTGAACCGCTGTACGTGGTACGCCGGGTTCCGCTCGTCCTCGGGATCTCCCGCCTCTCCACATTCCCCCGGAGCAGATCGGTATTCTGGGTGGCCGCCCGCCACTGCGGATTGAGGTTCTGCGGATGCCTCACCTCCCTCCGGGCATTGGCAGGCCCTACCCATCGCTGAGGAGGATTGTAGGCTCCTCGGCCACTGCCCCGGCCTCTCTCACTCCCCCGACCTCTACCCCCTCCCTGGACTGACTTGGACCTCCAGCAGGATGTGCCCCCGGGACATTCGGCCGATGTCGTCGCCTATACCTAGCGGCGAAGTCAGCATCCCCAATCGAACTCACCTGCTCCGCCGAGAGAGCATGCTTCAAAGTACGTAAGTGTACTTTGCAGCCGCCCTCCCGAAAAAATTCGTCATAGCAAACGTCCTAGTTTGCTTCCCCATGAGGCTTGTACAGGTACTTTCTAGCCCGCCTCCACTGCTTGTCGAACGATATGGCACCCCTGCCATTCCCCTACGGCCGACCTGGGTATTCCTTCGCAGGGTCTAGACAACCCGGCTGCCGCGATCCTCTACCTTGCACCGCGGGCCTAGTCGGCGCTCTCAATGGAGCTCCCGATTGAGCTCTAGTTGGCACCGGAGCTGGTACCACCGCCTTCGGCGCACCCTGCGCCCATGCACCCGCCAGTACTACCGCAGGACGAGTCGGCGCAGCCACCGCGGGCTTGGCTGGTGCGGCGGCTGGCTGGGAGGCACTCGTCGGTGGTTCATCGTCATTCGGATGCACCAGGGCACCACGCCGCTCACCATTCTCTGCCCGTCAGGCCTCATTGGGGTCCAGCCCAGAGCCCTAGCATCCCGCTCGACACGGGACTCCGGCAGCCTCTGCCGCTCCAGCTCCTCCTCGGTAATCTCGCCTCTGGTGAGCCGATCCTCCAGCGCCTCGTTGTCCTCGGTGCGCCGAGCAGGTGCGAAGTCGGCCCTCGACGACACAAGCTCCCCAGCTCGACGTGACTCCGTCAGGGCCTTTGCCCGGATCTCCTCCAAGTCCATTTACCAAACGCTGTTGGCAAAGTCCGCCGTCAAAGCCGCGACACTCGGGCCGGGCATCTCCACTGCATGCTAAAGTCAGCGATGCCAAAATTGAGCATGCCTAGGAACACGAACCATCCTCGTCATCCGCTCGACGCTTGCCCTTGTCTCGGTGCCGACTCGGCCCCGCAATCTCTCGCCCCGTCATCTGCGCACTCGTAAGATGCCGCGGATAGCCTGGGGAAGGGGGAAACGTATTTTGGAGCAGTGTGGTGGGATGAAGGTGCGAAGGACATGCGAGCTGCCGCCAACCCCGTGCCCGCTAAAAATTTGCCGTGCCGGAAATCTCCCATCCAGGATGAGAACTACGCCCACGAAAGAGCGAGCTTCACGAAACCCACCTGCCCATCTCTGAAAGCTTGATTCTAATTGTCTCACGAGTCGCCTGCTTTGCTCGCCATACTACGGCAACATTCACGATATATCACGAGGGATCGCGTTTGAGAAGAGGGCCAACATGGAGGAATCTCCCGCCTGCGAAGCCCCGACCCCTTTCAACGTCGTTGGACTCACTGTGATGCTGTCAGCAGTGGGATGGACCTTGCAGGTGTTATACCACATGGCCTAAGGAAAATTGTCAACGCTTTACACGTTGATATCCCGGAGGCAACTCCGTTCATAAAGGTCAGCGCAAAGGAACCCAGCAATGTTCGGCGACGCGACGAGCTTTTCGCGTCCTAATCCCAGGGATTTTGGTGTCAAGGAGTTGCTTGGAGTGGCAATCAAAAGATATAGAAAGTCTTCCGGGCAATATCACTGCACATTAGATGGTCCTTGTAACTCATGCTCCTGGCGACATGTTCTACGCCACCGCTGTTAGGTACCACCCTGACACCCGTACAGCTCCTACTACCCTTCCTCGTAGATAGACCCTACACAATACAATCAACTTTCTGCATGCACTCCGTGTACAATCAACGCGTCGCGTGACAAGCGCAGGCTTTCTACTAGTCCCAAGAATAAGGAGCGAAGGTTTAGGGCTGAAACTCTCGGAGCTATCTTGGAGACCGGGCTACTCTTACATTGGCCCGTTGATTTCCACAATGCCTTCATAGGCATTCAGGATTGCAATCCCTTGAGTGAGTGAGCACCTCGAAGGTGTAGCCTTTGCCGTCAACGGATTTATCCATCTCTGCGCTGTTCGGTCCTGATTGGGCATCAGCCCGCGATCTTCATTCCACAGCGCAGCTACGCGAGAGTCTTCTCACTACTGAATTTTTCTGGTGTTTGGCCTGCATTCATGGCTACAAGTCTGAGAGAGCGACACGCACTAAAATATAGCTACAAGCCGAAAAGAGTGACGGGGACGGAAGATACGGCCAGTCTCGACATCGTTCGCAGTCGAGAAGAATCAAATGTTGGAGAGGCGGTCCCTGGTCTCAATCAGACGCTCAGGACATAGGAACTCAGCTTGCAGATCGGGTGGCGTAGATCCCCACGCGAATCATCGACGACTTTCTTAAATTGGGGTACGTATTTGAGATCTAGATCGTAACTCCGAAACTGCCTAAGCAAGAGGCTCGTCTAAAGCTTTTCAATCCTACTAAACCTACAAACAGAGCTAAGGCTGAAAAGGAGAATGTTGATGCCACGTTGATGCTCAAACTTCGAATTGATCAGCCCGCTCAGCAAGATCTCAAGCCAAAAGACGTGAGACGTAACCGCTGGAATTCCTCTTGAGCTTTGACCTGTAGATCCTCATGTAGATCTATATAATCTATTGGCTCAGCATACACCTCCGCCTCTACACTAACAGTAAGCGTAGATCTAAACAGCTTCAGTACGTATAAGTACGTAGCCGCGGTATCACCTTTCGTCCTACATAGTCTTATAAAGTCACGTTACTTTCCTTTCAACTACGTATATAAGCTCACTCATTCACTACAACACAAACTCATGCTCACTTCAATCTATCTGACGAACTCCTCGTGATTCCGCCAGCAATTAAGACAGGTTGAGAAACAAGACTAAGATCAGATCAGAGACGGAAATTCAAGGATTTTCGCATGGGCTCTTTCTCCTATTTCTAAGGCTGCTAGTTCACCAGTCGCTTCCATGGCTACAGTTGTGAACTCATTGGCTGTACTAGGTCCACGCAACGGCGAGAGTTCAGATCGCGGTGAACCGCGATTGTGACGTCATGTGTGCTGTTATTGGCGAAGAAAACAGCGGTGAATTCGTACCCTCGTGGGGAAGTGAAGGGAGATATCACTCGCTTAGCGCCACGCTAAGACTCAACTCGTCTCACTTGAAGCTGGCTGGCGTCCTACTGCTTTGCTTCTTCACCACACATCGACAATGGCCATGGACGAAGAGGAGGACAAAGCGCTCCAGTGGCTGAGAAGGGTGAGCCAGCCGGCGCCTCGTGGGGATTCTACGGTACTGGCCATAGAAGCAATGCTTCGGTTGGCGGAATTGGGGCAGCAGGCAAGTCTTAGACGCGGAGTTCTAATGACATCTGCGTCCGCAGACTCGGGCCTGCCGTCCAGTTTGGCAGCTCAGGACGGGGAGAGTACTGGCGAGAGGTCTCACAGGAACAGTACAGTGACGGATCAAACTTCACGAGGGAGCAATACCCCGACGGGGTTATCTCGATCGGGAGCGGTGGAAAACGTGACCAAAGCGGCGACGGATGACATGGATGAAAATGACGAGGGAGGACGCCTTGTCCGGCATATCAGAAGGCCGCGGGATGGGTGAGTAATGATCTTCTATTGCATCACCTAGCTAACTCTGACATTGAATAGTTCAGAGCTCCCACCCACATCTCCGCCCACGCCGAAGCGTTTACAGAAGGAGGATAAGCGACAATATATTCCAAGCCAGCTTGGCAAGGCCTCTTTGGAGACGAATAAGTCGACTGCGCCCAAGGACACAGCATCCAAGGTTAAGGCGGAAGATGTGTAGGCTCGGTCGAGAAGCTTGAGACATAGGCTTTGAAATCGCCCCGGCTTGTGCCTAGTATATTTGCCTTGACTTGTGACTGGGATCACCGCCTTAGCTGGTGTCTGGGATCTCCGCCTAGACTGGTGTCTGGGATTCCCGTAGTCTAGTAAATTCTTCTAAAAGTACAGGTGCCCGATCTTGACTAGTGAACGTAGAAGTTGCTACTATTAATATGTGGCTCTTTTCATTATCGCCATGTAGTTGTCTGGAGGTTTCCATTGCAGCACTCGCAGTAAGTTTGTAAATCTCAGCTAGCAAAACAGGAATATTGCCTTTGTCCAGCCGGTGAGGTTGAGTTTTGCGATTTTGGAATTGCAGCTTTACCTCGTCTATGAATGGGAGAGGATTTAGGTTTCAAATGCAGCAACTCAGAGACAGTTGCCGTCTCAATCTTGTTGTTTATAAAAGTTTCCCGAATCACACCGCAACAAGAAAGCGATGTATCTAAAAGCCGTAATATGAAGTGCGATACCATGAACCATCAGATGTGCAAACCAAGGCAATATTGGGAAAATGAAGCGGCTAGCACATTGTCAAATTCGCTAACGGCTCACTCTCTACAGAGCAGCTGACTGAACCATCCATTTCTGGGGAGGAGTCTGTCCGTTATATAGAATGATTTGATGATCTTCACACAACGACAAGGCCAAGCGCGCTTTTGCTATGACTCCTTTCAATATATCGTTCCCTACACACATTTTGTACAACATCACCGCGGTTACCACTTACAGCCGCTGTGCCACGTCCCTGGTTCTAGTTCGGGTGCAAAGTTGTCTTCGAGATTGCCCGAAGTTTACATTCTTAGAATTGCACAGAGCATTAAAAGCGTATATCTTCTCTATATATAATAATAGAAGCGTTCGAGGCAGTGATTTGACACCTTTATACCGAGTCAAATCCACCTTAACCTGTATGGGTTACTTTAGAACGCAGACGTTTATCTGCTGCCCTTCTAAAGCTGGGTCGCATTATTAGTCGGGTGTAATGCTAGCAAACGCGGACGCTTTCCTGCGAGTGAAGGGTGGAAGGGTAAGGCTAGGCCTGAGCTAGAAAACAGATTGCGAAGCGTGATAACGATGAGATAGACCAACAGCGTTCGGCACACCAAGACTGTGTAGCTGTTGACATACCCCGAACTCAATCGAGATTTCGAGATTGAATCTGGAAGGCATGCAGAACCGGCGTAGTTTATTTCATCAGTTCAGTTAGGCGGACGGATTGTTACTAAGTTTGCTCTATGAATACCTATGGTCCCTTCTTTACAATGGTCTGGGGCTTTAACACTTGCTTCGTCGGTTTCGTAGGGAAAAGAATCTCTTAGAGATTTGGCTTTTGCGGTTGACTGTCGACAAGCATTAAAAGGAAGCATTGAAAAAAAGGGAAACGCTTCTGATCTTAACCACATGTGAAGAAGGAGCTGACGAGGTTGGATCTACATAGAACTTTGGATGTCTCGAGCTACTTAATGAGGGCGCGCTAGCTCGCTCTTATGATGGCGGCACATCTGAAGCATACTTGGCATGAAAGAAGTCGCATGACACGCCATTATAACCTAAGCTGTGAGACCAGAGCGAAAGGTGGAGGGGCTGCCTCTGAGATTCGTACATCGGAAGCGCTACAATCCTCTCCGCAATGAGTGGAAAGCAATACGCATGCATATTCAGTGTGGGTTCGCTCTTCTCGTACGATGCATAAGCCCGAGCATTACTAAAAAGAGACTCTTGCAATTGCGCGTGCGACGACCTTCAAGGCAGTCCGTAAATTGCAAATAACACATAAGAATCTCACGCATGCAACTCGCATAAGGGTCGACAGCTTCAAATTAGATGTAGGTAAAGCACGGGCACTCCCATTTTGCAACAGGCAAACCCACTAGCAACAGCAGGCAAGACCCCACCGGCAACGGAAGGCGAGGCCCCATCGGCGACGATAGGCAAGAGCCTCCATGGTCTCCTCTCCCGCTATTCTCTAACCATCCTACTCTTCTTCTTTTTTCCACGTTCTTTCCTCTTACTTCTTCTCCTCTTCCCGTCGACCGACCTGGAAGCCTTCGTCCCAGCCTTCGTCCCAGCCTTCGTCCCAGCCTGCGTCCCAGCCTTCAATTCGACCCTTATTCCGTTCCCGAATCAGTGCTGTCCGGTGCTCATGTCGCAACTCTGCAAGCAAATCCTCCCCCCTCTGCCTCTCGCGCATCGACGCCTGCGCAGCCTCTCTCAACCTGTCTAGCTCCCCCGTATCCACCGGTAGCGCCTGGTGTTGCCATTGCGAAGCTTGCGATGGCTGGGCGTGCTGTGCAGGCTGCCCTGCTGGCGGGAAGGGTGCTGGCGGGAAGGATCCTTGCTGCCCCCAGGTAGGCCACGTCTGCTGTGGCGCGAAGCCGAACAAATTTGGCTGTTCAAACCCATTGGGTGCTCCGAAAGTCCCTTGATGCACTTGCGGCACCGTCTGGGCCTATGAATGAATTAGAGATTTGAATGTTATGCGTGCAATTTGGAACTTACCGGCCAATACTCGTTCTTTGGCGCTGTCTTCAGTTTCCACCAGTTCTTTGACTTCGTTGATTCTGGACAAAGCTGACCCACGTGCCCTGTGGTGCCGCACCAGCCGCACTCCTCCTTACAGTCCTCCCATGGACCGTGCCTCTTCTTCTTTTGCCAACACCGGTAGCAGATTGCCCCGAAGCTGGTCGGAATCCACTTCCCCTTCTCCATTGTCCATTTGATGTACTTCCATTTCTCCGGGACGTCATTAGATCCCTCAGGGGCCGCATTGGCGGTCGCGCCAGTTGTCGCCATGGTTGTGTGGTGTGTGAGCCGGAGTCGCTGCCTGTGGTCAAGAATTTCCAAAGGCGGATAGAATACGCTTAGCGAGACCAGGATGGAACAAGCGCAGACGCGTCGCGTCGCGGCCATCTCGTGACGCCAGTCCCGCCTTCGGAGCTACTTTACCACTCTCGCGAAATTTCTTTACTCAACACCACACATCCGCCGTCATGTCGGACCGAGACATCGCCAAGGGGAAGAGCCGCGCCGTTAACGCAGAGGTGAGGTCTGCCCGAAACATGTTCGATGCCTACAACGATGATCCCGACGTCATTGCCATAGGCTAGTTCAGATATAGCGCGAATGAGGGACTTTCGCAGCTGGAGCAGGAGGCCAAGCGTCTGACAAAAGATCTCGAGGCGGTGATGCAGCAAGTAGCTACTTCGAAGCCAGTTGTAGATCAATTGAAGGCAAGTACGAAGGAGCTTGCTGATTTGATCTCTGATGCGCGGGTTGAGCGCATAACAGCAGAGAAGGACCTCGAGATCCAGGCCCTGAAGTCGAAATTTGAAGAGCAGATTGAGCGCCTAACGGCGGAGAAGGATCTCGAAATCCAGGCCCTCAAGTCGGAACTCGAGCGAGTCAATGGTATCTCTTCTCCCTTCCCAACGCTTGACTTGCTTCCGTTTGCTGACACATCTTAGGCAAGCTGCGTGCAGTCACCGAAGACGAGACATTCGATACCCAGGCCGAGGGTGCCCAGTGGTTGCAGATCATGGCCCGTCTGCGGAACCAGCGGGACCGAGCCAGAAAGCAGGCAGAGGCAAGGCTCAAGTCCCTTAAGCGATGGTATGAGCAAGGCATGGAGTCCGGTCGAGAGCTGGCGCGGAAGGCCAACACGATTCGCAGACTAACTGGGAACCGTGAGATGCTCCTCAAGAGCATCGACGCGAGAGGCGGAGATTGCAGGCTTATAGGATCTACGATTGTCTAGGACTATGCACAGGCAGATAACCTAGAGTGGGCTGAGGCGGAGGCATTTTATAACCCCGGTGCTAAGTTCGAATCGTTGGAAACCTGCCTGCCGTTGTCGGTGGGACGTAGCCTATCGTTGTCGATGAAATTTTGCCTATTGCTGTCAACGGGCCATATGTAATGGGCTGCGCCCTAGTGGGTGCTCCTACGGCTCGGCCTCCGTAGCACGGTGCTTGCAGAGCCTCAACGGTGGCTAAGAGGCTGAGGACGGAACCGACTTAGCGTTGTACGAGGACGAGGCTGAGCAGCCCCCTTTTCTCCTCGGGCCTGCCCTGCTTTCCTTTTTCCTTACTATTATTCTTCTGTATATAGGATACAACGCGTATATATTAGTTGCCTTTTATACCCTTTATATAAAAATAATAGTCCTTTTTTTATTCTTTAAACTACGCCTGTTATATAATTCTAAAAAGAATTAAAAGTATATAAACCTAATAATTAACACCTTTTAAAGCAACTTTTCTACCTAATCTAAATTCCTGTAGAATAAAAACCCCGCTATATATTAATAGGCTTAGCCTAACTAACTATTATATAAAAAGCTTAGGAATATATTTATAGCTATAACTAATATAAATTAAGTTTTATAGTAGCAGGTGCAGTAAATACAGGCTTATATTAATAAAGTAAGTACTAATAATAATATATAGATCTATAGTTCTATATATAATTAAGAGCGCTAGTACCTATATACCCTTTTTTTAGTAGTTATACACCTTTTTTTCTAGTAAATATATACCCTTTAAACCCCTATTATTTTACCGCTTTCTAATTAGCTTAGAATACTGCGCCGGAGCTCTAGTTATTTACCTATATATTATATAAGGCTATATAAATTAGCGTGCAGCCTTTCTAATTTATATAGCTTTACTAATTTATATAGCCTTATATATAAGCTTATATATAGCTATATAAATCGGCGTATAGCTTTACTAGTTTATATAGCCTTACTAATTTATATAGCCTTATATATAAGCTTATATAGTATAAGTATAAGTTTAAGTCTAAGTATAGAATAGAAATTCTATTCTAGAAGTACTTCTATATTTATAAGTATACTAAACCTATTAAACCTTTACCTTATTATAACTTCTTTATATTAAGCCTAGCCCTTTTATATTACTGCCTCTGCCTGCTTAATATTTTAGTTAATTTCCGCCTTAATATCTTTATTATACGTTATAAGCTAATATAAAAGCTTTTTTTAGCTAAGCCTTTATACCTAAAAATAAGGCTAAGGCTAGGGCTAAAGTATAGGCTAAGGCGTAGGCTAAGTACTATTTTACTTTTAAGCTTATACCTTTTTCTATAGTACCTTATTTTTTATACTAGGTAGCTAGCCGCGCTTTTTAGCTATAGGTATAGCTATAGGTATTACTATATATACTACCGTATATACTACTATATATACTGCTGTATATACTACTATATATACTACTATATATACTACTATATACGCTGCTATATATACTACTATAGGTGCTACTATAGGTATTACTATAGATATAGCTATAGGCCTAAAAAAAGTTAGATTTATTATACTAGCGCTATAAGCAGGAGTTTAAGGGCTTAAGAAGGAGCGTTAATAAAGTGCTAGGTATAATACTATATAGAAAATTAAGATATTATATAAAAAATAGGAAATTAGAAGCGCCGGCGAAGAAAATATACCGGTGGGATATACGTATAGCGCGAGCTTATAAGCTCTATATAAGGTTAGGTAATAAAGCTATATAATAGGCGAATTATAGTAGGTAAAGTATTACGGGTAGTTACTATAATAAGATTAATATAAGAAAAATTAACTAGTATAGCTATTAACTAATAGGTATTCTAAGTAATAGAAGCTAAATAAAAAACTATAGAAATAGGTAGTGCTAGCAGTAAAGCTATTAGTATATATCTAGAAGATATACTTATATATCTACTCTATTTAGTTTACTATAGTATTTTACTAAGCTATAGCTCTATACTAATATATACGCTTATAAAGTAATATACGCTTTTTCTACTATAGTATAGTATATTAGCTATAGTAGCTAAAGGGCTATAGTAAAGGTATTATAGAAGAAAAGGAAAAAAATATAATTAATTATAATTAAGGCTATATTTAGAAAAAGTATTTAGAATTAGTAAGTAAATTAAGTAAGTAAATTAGAGGCCCTAGCCGGGCCTCTAAGCTAATTAAAGGGCGGTAAAATAACAGGTATTTAAAAAGTATATATTTACTAAAAAAGGGGTATTATTATTATTATTATTAGGTTCTATTAGGCCGATTTAGCTCCTATTAGGGTTTATATAGTAGTGCTATCTAGGTTTTATTTATAAGGGGAAACCGTTCGCTCTATAGTAGTTAGGTAAAAACCTTATTTTCTATAGTATATAACGCTTTACGTTTTTTTTATTTCTACGCGGCTATAGGAAACGCGTAGCAGCTTTATAAGTATTACTATAGAGTAAGCTATTTTAATATATTTTCTAGGATTAATCCGGTGTCTATAGGCCCTAGGTTTTAGGGTTATATAGTATTTAGAAGGTTAGTAAAGTCCGGGGTTTATATTAAAGTGCGCGTGCTTTTACTATATACGCGTGCCCTTTTTTCTTAAAAGCTAAGGTATTAAATTAAAGGATAATAGGAAATTAAAGAGGTTACTTTATTACGGGCGTGCCTATAGTTATATAATATGCGTGTGTATATATAGTTCTATTTTTAGGGCGTAGCTATATAAGTTAGCTAGCTATATAGCTAGCTTTTCCGTTGCTATTTTTTTAGCTATAGAAAGGTAGAGTAGAAGGTTTATCTAGTGCAGGAACTATTATAAAACGGCCTTATTTCCTTTATAGTTTTTATATAGCTATATATATATTTTTATTCTAGCCTTAAAAAATATATTACCTCTACTATTGCAGTATTATTTATAGTATATTACTATATACTTTAAAAACTATAGTATATACCTGTAGAGTAGGTATAAATTATATTATATACTATCTATACTATAATAAAAGGGCGCGACCTCTTTTACACGCTTTTTAGCTTAGCTAGAAAACTTTTACCTAAGCTTACCTTTTAACCCGGCCTTAAAAACTCGGGTAGATAAAGCCCTCCTTTTATACCCCTATACTAGTTTACTTCTTAAGCCTATATTATCCTTTTTTTTTTACCTATTTATAAACTAATATATATATCTGTTTTTTTAGGCTATATAAATAGTATTTACTATTACTACTATTATACACCTTATCTTATAGCTAATACTGCTTTATAATACCTTATAAAGTTTTCCTTTTATAAGGCCGACTATATTTTATAGAAGTTGTTATCTATATACCCTTAGCTAGGCAGTATACTTTAATATTTCCTTTCTACTAACTAAAATAGAGCATCTATTTTCCTTCTTCTATCTACCTGCTATACCTATTTTTAAGTATATCTAGCTGCTATTCTAGTACTTATATCTACCTTATATATTATAGCCGGGCTAGTTAGGCGTTGTTGCCTTATAGCGCGTTATTAGGATTATATTTACTTGGAAATTATCCGGTTTATTATTTTTCCTTTCTCTACTTATCCGGCAGACAGCTCTATTACCCCTACTATACTAGCTATAACTATTTCCCTTTAGAAGCTTTAGGCTTTTTTATATACTAATAGGCGCCTATAGGTATTATTAATAGCTATAAATACTATACTATTTAAGGTCCTCTACTTAACTACTATAAAAATACTATTTCCTAAGTAAAGGCTATAAATACTATACTATTTAAGGTTCTTTAATTAACTACTAATAACTTTAGTAATACTATAGGTACTATAAATACTATTAGTTAATAAGAGCTTTAATAAAGGGGAAGGTAAAAACTCTATATTACTACTCTAGAGGTGTTCTATTATACGCCTAGGTATTAGCTCTATATTCGGCTTACTTTCTATATAAGTAGATATATATTAGATAGTTTTTATACCTACTTTAATAGTTGTTCCTCTATTCTAGTAATACAGTTTATTATTATTATTATCCGGTAGAGGGCCTTTAAACGGCTATAACGCTATTACTAGCTCTATTATACCTTAAGTATCTGCTTTACTTACTATAATATAGAAGTAGGTTTATAGCACCGCCTTATATAGGCTGCTTATCGGGCTTATAGTGCTAAAAGGGGTATATAACTACTAAAAAGGGGGTGTATAGGTACTAGTACCTATAATTAACTATATAACTAATTATAATAAAAATTTGCAGTTTAGTTAGAAGCTGCTATAAATATAGCCTAGAAGTCTACTTAAGCTAATATAGAGTAAGCTATATAGGTTACTTAAGCTAAGTTTTATACTTATATAAAAACTGCTATATAAAAAGGCTAAGCTTTAGTATAGGCTATAGCTAATATAGCTAATACTAATACTATATATACTAGCAGCTTTTATACTGCTAATAACTACTACTATAAAAAGCAACTAAAACCTAAACTTTCTAATATTAATAAGTTTTCTAAAGGTATTTATAAAAAGTACTATATATAGTATAACTATATATTAGTAAAGCTTTAGGAAAATAAACTTTTATACCTATTTAAAAAGGATTATTAGGTGTTATAGTAACTACCTGTAATACTTTACCTACTATAATTTACCGATTATATATTTAGTCTAGCTCCTAGTCTAGATTATATAACCTAGTCTAGGTTATAGTCTAGGTTATAGACTAAATTATATAGTATATATATATTCCGCCGGTATATTTTTTTCGCCGGTGCTTTCGATTTCCTATTTCTTATACAACGTCTTAATTTCCTATATAGTAACGTATTTAGCATCTAATTAAAGCTTCTTCCTAAGTTTTTAAACTCCTGCTTATAGCACTATTATAATATTAGGGGATAAACCCCGGTTTATATAAACTTAAGCTATACTTTTATAAACTAAGGCCTTAGTAAATAAGGCTTAGTAAAAGAAACTTTTCTTTTTACTTAGCTAGAAAGCCCTTTTTTTTCCTTAATAGATTTTTGCTGTTAAGTAGCTATAAGCCTTATAGCTTATTTTTATTAGTAATTAGATAAACCCTTATATTAAAATCTATTTAAAAAAAACCCTAGTATAAGTAGCTTACGCCTTATATAACCTATATAACCTCTTACGCCCTAGTAATACTAATAACCCGGATAATTAAGATAATATAACCTTTATAAAGCTAATTAAAATTAGAATTACTTTTATTTTACTAGGTTATAGCTAATATAATAGAGCAACTTTATAAGTAGCTAGCTGCGCAGGATAATATAATTACCTAAGCCTAGTATAGCTAGTAATAAGCGGAATAATAGTTCTAAAGTTAATAAGCAGCTATAAACCGCTTTATAGAG